TAATCTTAGCACTCTGGGAGGCTGAGGCAGTAGGATTGCTTGAGCCCAGGAGTTTGAGGTTGCTGTGAGCGAGGCTAATGCCACAGCACTCTAGCTAGCCTGGGCAACAAAAAAAAAATAAAAAAATAAAAACATTTTTGTTAGATAAATCTCCTTTTAAATTGGTTTACTTATTTTTTATAAACCCTTGTGTGACCTAAAATTGTACCTGGTGCATAGTAGGTGCTCAATAAATATTTGTTGCCTGAATAGATTTCAGCAGGGTAGCTGATATCCATCTAATGTATTCCTGACCTAACAAGGAATCCTTTACAGTAATTTGGCACCACAAACATTCAGTGAACGCCTATGGATAGTGGCCCTTTTCTAAGAGCATCAGTTCCAAGCCTTGGCACCTGGATCCCTGAATAGCCCACACAGCATTAGAGAGGTGAAAATGCAGAATGACTCGAGGTCAATGGCAGTAGGCCACCAGCCATGTGAGGCCAGCTTCAGTTCCTTGGAACTGCTCCATTTAGTTCTGTCTAGGGAGAATTTTTGTTTTTTTTTTTGAGACAGAGTCTTACTCTGTTGCCCTGGCTGGAGTGAGTGCCGTGGCATTAGCCTAGCTCACAGCAACCTGAAACTCCTGGGCTCAAGCAATCTTACTGCCTCAGCCTCCCAAGTAGCTGGGACTACAGGCATGCGCCACCATGCCCAGCTAATTTTTTCTATATATTTTTTAGTTGTCCAGATAATTTCTTTCTATTTTTTTTAGTAGAGACGAGGTCTCGCTCTGGCTCAGGCTGGTCTTGAATTCCTGAGCTCAAACGATCCGCCCGCCTCGGCCTCCCAGAGTGCTAGGATTAGGGGCGTGAGCCACCGCGCCTGGCCTAGGGAGAATTCTTAACTTCAGGATATTCAGTCTTAATTACACAGACAAAAGCATCACTTCATTGGCTTCTCTGTCAAGGACACGTGCCAAATTCTTGAACCTGCCATCCAATTTAAGAAAGAGCATTGCCAGTACCTTTGAAGCCCACTCTGGGACCCTCTTTGATTATCCCCCTTCCCTTACCACCAGAGGAAAAAAACCAATATCCTAAATTTTGCGTTGATTATTTCCTTGACTTTTATTTTAATATTAGGTCATTGAATATCAAATGTCCAATTTCGAATCAAAAATATAGTTTATTACGTCTCAAACAAGAAGCAGTACAATTAATCAATGTATGCACCTGAGCTACTGACAAAGTTTTGCCATTTTTTTTTTTTTTTTTTTTTTGACAGTCTTGCTCTGTTGCCCAGGCTAGAGTGCCTGGCATCAGCGTAGCTCACAGCAACCTCAAACTCCTGGGCTCAAGCAATCCTTCTGCCTAAGCCTCCCGAGCAGCTGGGACTACAAGCATGTGCCACCATGCCTGGCTACTTTTTTCTATATATTTTTAGTTGTCCCACTAACTTCTTTCTATTTTTAGTAGAGACGAGGTCTTGCTGTTGCTCAGGCTGGTCTTAAACTCCTGACCTCGAGCGATCCTCCCGCCTCGGCCTCCCACAGTGCTAGGATTATAGGCATGAGTCACTGCGCCCAGCCAAGTTTTGCCATCTTAACGGTAGCTTGCTTATGACAAGAGTGAAGAAGCCTGGAGAGTGAGTGGCAATGAAACCACAAAAGGTGTTTTCCACAGCTGTGGAGAACTGAATATTTTTTCCTTGCAAGAAGTGGTCCAAAGCCTGGAAGAAGTGGTAGTCAGTTGACGCAAGGTCTGGTAAATACAGTGGATGACAGAGTTTCCAAGTCCAGTCTCTATAGTTTGAGCAGCATTGTTTGTGTGACCTGTGGTCGAGTATTGTCTTGCAAGAGCATTGGCCTGTCTCTATTGACCAATCTCAGCTGTTTAGTCATAAGCATCCTCATCATTTTGTCCAACTGGTTGCAATAGACTTCCACTATAATCAGTTGACCAGGTTTCATGAAGCTGTAGTGGATGATACCAGTGCTGGACCACCAAACAACACCATTAGCGCTTTTTTGATGAATATTTGGTTTTGGACTGTGTTTCAGGACTTCATCTTTATCTAGCCATTGTGCTGAACCCTTGTGATTGCCAAAAAGAATCCATTTTTCATCACATGTAACAATATGGTGTAGAAATGTTTTGCCCTTAGGTCCTGACAGCAAAGAAAGGCAAGCTTTGAGATGATTTACCTTCTGATGCTTGTTTAATTCATGCGGTACCCATCTATCCAGCTTCTTTATCTTGCCCATTTGTTTCAAATGATCCAGTATTGGAATAGTAACGTCAAACCTTGCTGCTAATTCACGCATAGGTTGAGACGGATTCACTTCCACTACAGCTTTCAGCTCATTATCCACCCTGGTCTCAGGTCACCCATGTGGCTCATTTTCAAGATTAATATCACCACAAGGGAACTTCTCAAACCATTGATGTACTGTGCGTTCATTAGCCACATCCTTCCCAAACACTTCATTGATATTTCAAGCTGTCTGCACTGCATTGGTTCCACAACAGAACTCATATTTGAAAATAACATGAATTTTTGACTTATCCATGGTTTCGCAAAAATGGCTCTAAAAAATTTTTGAAAGATAGTAATAAGCTAAAATGTGGGTTTAAAAGACTGAGGATGTACCTTCACAATAAAAATAAAACAAGAAGTGTCAAAGTGAAATGTCAGCAATACAACTTTCAAACTTAGTACTTAAGGAAATCGGACATTTCATGCTTAATAACCTAATATGTATGTGTGTGTGTATATATATATACACACATATATACATATATATGTGTGTGTGTGTGTATATATATATTTTATTTTGCACTATTTTGATCTTTTTATAAATGGAATCACACCATGTTTTTGGCAACTTTTAAAAAATTCAATATTCCATTGAACTATAGCAATATCTGTAGTTCATTCATTTTCACTGCTGTAGCCTGTTGTGCAAATATATAACTTATTTATTCCATCTTGTATCAGGGGACATTTGGGTTGTTTCTAGTTTTCTGCATTTTGGAACAATGTTACTATGAACATGATTATATTCCTGTCTCCTGTTACATATTGCAGTATAATAGTTTTTCTAGTTTTATGCCTAGAAGTGTTAAGTAGTATGATATATATACATCTTTAACTTAACTAAATAATGACAAATTGCTTTCTAAAACATTTATACTAATTAGTTCTTCCAACTGAAGTCAGTGTATAAGAGTTTCTACTGTACCAAATCCTCACGAATATTTAGTACTGTCTAAATTTTAAAATTTTGCCAATTTTTATCAATTTTACCAATTAAAAAATTATGGAGTGATAACATATATATGGTAAATAACATATATCTTAAATGTACTCAATAAAGTTTTACTTTAAAAATATAGACAAAGACCGTGTGCGGTGGCTCACGCTGTAATCCTAGCTCTCTGGGAGGCCGAGGCGGGTGGATTGTTTGAGCTCAGGAGTTCAAAACCAGCCTGAGCAAGAGCGAGACCCCGTCTCTAC